ATAGTGACGAGCTCCATGGCAACCCTGCAAGGAAATGAATAATTCTGTGCTCAAAGTGGAATAATTCTGTGCTGGAAGTGGAAGATAAAAAAAAAGGACCTGATGGCTACGGGTGCTGCAAAATAGATGATCAGCAAATCACCCAGGTACACCCATCGGGTGGGTGCTTGTGAGAGCCCTCAGTAATAGGGCAGTGTTGGGGTGCAGGATGGATGCAGTGGGGCTGTGTCAGGGCTTCCAGACAAGCCTTTTGTCTTGGTATTCCCTGATTTCCACGTAGCCAGGTTTATTGAAGGCATCTACAGGTCATGCATGTGCTGTACCTGCCTCTGCTGACACAGCTGTGTCTCCACCATGCCCTGAGCCCTTTAAGATGCTGCACCCCTGGGTTTGTCTCAAATATGGATTTGATTCCTCCTCTCCAGTTCTGGCTATGCTAGAAGCATTCCCAAAAATGAAAGCCAGCTCTTTTCTGAGCTTTGAAGTGTGGAGTAGACTTGAACAGAGAGAGAGGAAAAAAAAAACCTATCCCATGTGGATGGGTTTTTAGAAAAAAACCCTATTGAGTCAATGGCATTTGTGTTAAAAACAACGGTCCTTGGAGTCATTTCCATAGGAACCAGCCCTCCCATTCCGGGCAGGCTCCCTGCAGCAGCACCCAAGGCTGCAGCTGAGTGGGGAGCAGTGTGAGAAGGGGAGGTTCTGGGGTCTGCCCACCCCAGGAAAGGGAAGCAGGGTAGGGCAGGCTGCCTTCTGTTGAATCAGTGATTCACAGCTGTGATTCACCACCCCATCCTATAGCTGTGGAAAACAGCCAGGTCTGGCCATCAGCTGTGTGCCTTTTCCACTGCGAGAAGTTATTTTTGGATGTTTTTAGATTACAGCCCTTGTATTTTTTTTTTTTTTCTGTGCCTCTGAATTCTGGATGATTGCACTGCAAGTAATTGAGGCACTTGAATTTCCTGCTTAGAGAAATGAGCTCAATACCAATTTTTTGCAACTCTAAGGCATTTCTAAAATAGCTTTTCTGCATGGCGTCATGGGGAGCAGGCACACAGCTTTGGGGCTCTTTGTGCTGAATTTGGGAACACTGGGTGCAGGAAGGTTGCAGGAAAGGATGTGGGGGCTGTCAGCTTGAACATGAGTCACCAGTGCACCCTTGCTGTGATGGAGACTGGCTGGGTTTACTGGTAGGGTTGTAGCCAGCAGGTCAAGAGAACAGAGATTGTTGCCCTCAATTTGGCACTCACAGGTCCACACCTGGAGCACTGTGCCCAGTTTTGGGCATAGCTTTGGGCTCCCCACTGCAACAAAAACAGGGCCACGTGGGAACCACCAAAATGATCTGAGTGCTGGAGGCCAAGGCAGGGTGGGAGAGGCTGAGAGAGCTCCTTCAGTTTGGGAGTGTGAGAGCCGGGTGCACTAGATGATCCTTAAGGTCCCTTGCAACCCAAACCACTCTAGGATCCATGTCTCTCTCCAGTCTCATTTTGTGATCCTACAGGACAGTAAGGGCATGTAGGGCTTTGTCTGTTCCCCTCATAGTGGGGTGTAGACATAACACATGGACCAGAGCAGCTCATCACAGAAGTTCACAGCGGGCTGAAATGCTGCCCATCCTCTGGAGATGACCTGACCTGGCTGGTGATGCACAGACACCCCTCCCTGGGGCACACAGCTCTAACCCAAGAGCTCAAAACAACCTGGGCAAAACCCCACACATTTCTTGGTGCCGCTTCTCCCCTCGTGCCGTGCACCGGGGGCTTGGAGCGTGTCACTCAGCCCCTCCCAGGCTGCAGGGACCAAACACTCCCCTTCATCCCTGCCTTTCCAAGCCAGCCCTGCCCAAGTGTGGTGCTCAGTGGTGCCAGCTCTGCTGTCTGTGCCTGCACACAGCCTTGGGGGTGGGTTATTGTGGTGGGGGAGTGAGGACCAGCTGGTGAGGGAGCTTAGTGAGGTGTGGGGTCCTGGTGCAGGTGAATGCCCTGAGTTCAGGGTGAGCCTTTCCCTCCGTGCATTCCCACTGTCACAGGGCACAGAGCATGGCTTTGACAGGAGGCAGGAAGAACTTCTATACAGGGAAGCCTGTTACCTGAAGGAGGGGTGGGAAAGGACAGAAAAGTCTTTTGGGAGGTGGAAAATGTGATGCCACATCAAAGAGAGAATTCAACCTGGGCCTCTAATTTCAAAACAGAGTTCAAACCACCGGAATGTTATATTTAAAAAAAATCCCAAAATGTATTTGGCACTTCCTTTTGCTTTCTCTTCCCCCATCTGTGAGTGCCACCATCACACTGGGGAAGCTTCCAGAGCCAGGACCAGCACCTAGGAGGCTCAGGGTCATTTCTGGACAGCTTTTGTGTAGCCCTGAAAAACCTGGGAACCTCAGCTTCCAGCAGGGGGGTGGGGCAAGAGCTGCTGGGGTTAACTGGTGACTGAATGAGCTGTCGTTTGCCATGGAGTGTAGGTTCCTAAGCCCTTTATTGGATCTAGCCCGGGGCTCTATTCCCAGCCCTGTTTGTGACATTAACAGGTCGTTGCAGCCCCAGGGCTGTCCCCACCTTGTCCTCACTGCCTGCACGGCACTGGCAGGACACTGAGTGCAGGGCAGAGAGACCCACAGCCGAGGAGCCTCGGCACCCACAGTCACGTAGGCGCTGGAGTCAATTTGGGAGGCGGGCACGCCTCGCTTCTGGCCTCCTTGAAACTGTGCCACCACACACAGGGCTCAGGAGGGATATAAATACTGCTCAGGATGCCCTAGGATGTGGCAGACAGCAGGTATTTCAGGAGTGATGCTGCTAGCAGGGTCATGCCGGGGCAGCTTCTGCTCCATGAGTGGTTATTTGCATCCTCTAAAGATGAAGGGGTGTGAGCGCAGCGGCTGCAGATGGATCAGCCAGGGGATACAGAAGGTTTCTGTGGTTCTGGCACAGGTCCTGCATGTCTTTGGACAGGTTGCTGAAGACAAGATTTTCCACAGAGTACCTGTGACAGCTGCCCCTCCCCCCTTACAGTCGGATATTGTGTTTCAGAGAGGGTTTGAATATATATTATAGAATCCCAGAGCACTTTGACTTGGAAGGGACCTTAAAGATCATCTCTTCCACAGCCCCTGCCATGGGCAGGATCACCTTCCACTAGCCCAGGTTGCTCCAAGCCCTGTCCAACCTGGCCTTAGACATTTCCAGGGATCCAGGGGCAGCCACAGCTTCTCTGGGCAACCTGTGCCAGGGCCTGCCCACCCTCACAGGGGAGAATTTCACAGGCTCAGGGAAAAATGTGTGCATTCAAGGCTTCTCTCTATGCAGAGCTTTGATGCAACTGGGCACGGAGCTGCCCATGCTGCAAGGTCCCTGTGGCAGATACAGCCTCAAGGATGTGCCTGTGGGTCCATCCCAATTCCAAAATGTCCACACTAAGCCTGTTCTGTGTGTGAGGGCTGCAGCAGGCACAGGCAGAGGGGGGCACCAGGGCAGTGGGATGCTCAGCGTGGCAGTGAGGAGCCCATCTACTGCCCAGCACATGGCACTGAGTTGGCACCAACACTGCCTGTGGTGGCATTTGCAACGTGTGGGGTGCTGAGCACTCAGGCAGGAGATCTCAGGGCTGGAGGTGTTGGCTGCTTCAGCATGTCTGAGCAGGAACTGAGGGTCTGAGCAGGAACTGAGGGTCTGAGTAGGGTTTTGGGGTCTGAAGAGGGTGTCAGGGTCTGAGCAGGGCATTGGGTCTGAGCAGTGCTTCAGGGTCTGGCAGTTCCTGGGCATAAGAGAGCTGGGACCACAGAGTTGGAGGGGGCCACTTCTGTGCCTTGCAGCCTGGTGGTTTGAACACTTTCCTAGGAAATGGGCTTTCCAATGCCCTCCATCTCACTTCAGGAGAGCTCTGATAGGCAAGAGCACAGCAACCCTCATTCCAAGGAAGACAGCACACAGCCAAGGGGCAAATCTTGGGATCCCAGTGGGTGGCAAGAGCTGTAGGTGGTCAGAGCACTGAGCTGGGAGAGGAGGGAGGGGTGCTCTGAGTGATGAGGTCACTTAGGGACAGAGCAGAGGGGGACCCAGGAAGCTGGTGAGATGTATAGGAAGTGGGGAGGGCTCTGGAGGGGCTCTGTGAGCACAGCCCTGACCAGTGAGCAGTGGCTGAGCACAGCTGACACCTGGCAAACATGAAAGCAGGGCTTGTTAGACTGCACACAGACTGCTGATTGTAACCTCAGTCACAAAACCTCCTTAGCCAAAGCCTGACAGCATCCCCTGAGTTTTCCCAGGCGGATCTGTGATGCTCAGCACTGCTATCAACCAGTCCCAGGGAAACAAGGCAGGTGTCCACTTCCTTCTCTCCTCTCCCTGTTGCTCCAGCCTCCCCAGGACTGTTTGGTGCCAACATCTGCTGATCTTGGGCTCTGTTCAGAGCACGTTCTGTGGTGCTGGGCAGTTGGCTCCATGATGATCCCAAAGCCCACCGTGCCACAGGGTTTTCTCCCCCTCTGTATTACAAATGAAGCTGCAGAATGGAGCTGTAGCCTGAAAGGTGCATCCACTCACACAGCCTGCAAAATGAACAGAGGATCTCGTTGTTAAGGGTGCATACACCTCTAGGGATTTAGGACATATCTTTATAGTATTGCATTGTATTTTTGGGAAGGGATTACATTATATCCCTTGGCAGGGGCATTGGAACTAGATGATCTTCTAGTTCACTTCCAACCCAACCCATTCTCTGTGATTCTGTATTGGTGGGATTTTGAGGTGAGGAGGTGCTTGGCTGTAGCCTCTGAAGTCAGCAGGAGTTAGGTGGGTGTTTCTGTGGAAGCATTACTGAGTCCCCAGGTGCTTTTTGTGGTTATTCTTCAAAAGCCCAGCGAGGGATGGACACTTCTGAAAGGGTCTTACCTCCTGAGTGTTATTTAACAGAAGGATTTGAAGCACGCAGAGGACACAAACCCGCTCCTCCAAACTGAACTGCAGTAACTTGCTGATTGTTTTCTTTTCCCAAAGGTCCCAGAATGGAGAGGAAGCTGGAGCCTGGCCAAACAACCAGTTTGACACGGAGGTGCTCCAAGCCATGATCCTGGCTTCAGCAAACGGTTGGTGTCCATCACGTGTGGGAAAACCACGACACTTGCTCTCGCAGGGGCATCTCGGGTTCACACTGTTAGATAAGATGGGACTGGTTTGTCTGGCTTCAAGAATCCTTCAGCAGATCCCAGAGCTGGTGGGAAAGCACTGCTGTCTGTGTTACCCTGCAGAGGAGAGGGGTGGGGAAGGATTCAGGCAGATTGCTGTACACAGGGACACCTCTTCCACTCAAACTTTATTTCCCGTGTAGTGGACAGGTCGTCATCTGGCTCGTGATGTGGTTGTGTTACATGAGGTGATCTTTTATGAACTTACCTGGTTCCAGAAGGTCACACTAAATTAAACTGCTGTGTTGCTGTGGGGTGAGGAGGTAGGAAGGCTGCAAGTCTTGCATGTGGCAGGGCCGAGGAAACAGTAAATGCCTGACTCAGTATTCCCAACAAACCCTGTGTCCAGAGGAGTTCTCCAGGTTCCTCTACTGAGCCCATGAACTCACTGCCATTTTCTCCACTGGCTGCTGCTGCCTCTTTGCAGTTGTAGTCACAGCGGGGGAGGTTTGGGGCCGTTTTGGGTCGGTTTGTTCTGGTTTATGGCTGTGTGGAAGTGGTGGGCAGGGAGGGTGTTCCCACACACCCACAGTCTCCATGGCTTTGTGTAAAACAAGTACAATTACCACTCCGTGCAGCACCATGGATAAAGAGGCTGGTTTTCATACAGCCTTTATTTATAAATACTTCCAAGTCTTTCCCCCCCTTGATTTAAAAATAGAAGCAACAGCACAGCCTGTGCAAAATGCTTAGGATGCTTCCTTTGAGCTGTTGGGAGGGAAAGAATCTGAGGGAGGAGGGATGGCTTTGGTGTTGCTTTCTTGGAAAGCTGCTGCAGCTGAACTTTGCTGCTCCTCAGACACCAGGCAGCCTGGAGACAGCTGCCCTGGCTGGGGAAGGGGACAAAGGTTTGGGGCAAGGGAGTTGTTTACACTCAAGGGAAAGAAACAATGTGAAAATGTGTCTTTGCTCTGAAAAAAAGACCATGGAAAAATAGCCTTTGGGGTTGCACGTGGTTGTCATCACCCAGGGCCTCCAGATCCGGTCTCCTTCCTGGCAAATAAAGCTGTTTTTTTCCGACTGCTGCTCCAGCAGTCCCCAGGATCAGAGCTGAGAGGGTCCTTTCCAGATTAAGCACCGACTTCTTCGGAGCCCCAGGCCCTATTTCAGCAAATCTCCCCCAGTCCACAAGTCTCAAACAGTCCTAACCTCTCCCACGGCTTCAGTCATCCCAGGGGGTTGATGTAAATCAGATCCATCCCCTAGATAATGGCTTTTCCTTATCCATCCTTTTCTTGCCCTTGCTCGTTCCTTTCTGTGCTGGCTGGCTGGATGGATGGACAGATGGGGACACAGCACAAGTTTTTTCCACTAGCACAGTGTTTTCATGTTACCCCTGCTCTCTGTCCCCTCTTCCTGCTCTCTCTTTAAGCCAATGGTGTTGATTGGAGCAGGCATTGATTAGGGGCAGCACTAATTGCCCATTAAGCTTTGTGCTGCCCATCCTTGGCTGATGTTTCCTGGCTATTTAAATGATCCTTATCTCTTACTGTCACCCCCTGAGCTCTCTGTTAGAGCTCAGACGTGGCAGGTGGGACACACAGTGACACAAGTGATGCCCTGGACGCATCCCTACCCTGTGCCAGGTGTTATCCTTCTCTTCAGCAAGAGGCAGAGCTGGTACTGCCATGCCAAGCCTGTGTGATCCATCTGCTCCAAGGAATAAATGCTTAAATCGCCCTCCTAAGTCAGAGTACCTGGGGAGCTGATTTCCCCCCAGGTCTGCTGTAGGGCTTCTGTCTTCCTTCCTGGGCATCCTTCATTTGGATTTTCCTCCCTTGCAGCTGGGAATGACATGAAAAGCCAGTGCTTTTAGCAATCTGAATGGGCAGAGGCAGCTGCTAAGACATCCCAAGGAGCACAGATGCTCCAGGACACCAGACACTGAAGGGCAGACATCCTGTCCTTAAAATACTCTGGCTTCCAGCGGGAAGAGAAGATCTTTCTCTCCCTCAGGCAGGGCAGACACACTAAATTGGGGTCTCCTGAAAGCCCCACCAGCAGCTGCAACAGCATGTGCTCCAGGGCTGCCTCTGGGTGACGGAGCCCTGAGCTGGTTATTTTTGCTGAAGCCGAAATTCTTGTTTCCCTCCTCAGGACCGTTTGGGACAATGTCTGGCTGCTGGTAAAGGCTGAGCATGACCTTTCCAGCAACAAGAGCTGAAGTTCCTTGCTTGGCAAGAGCACCTCGGTGCCCATTTATAACCCTCTATTGTTCCTGTTCTCTCTTCTTTTCAGCCTTAATGTCAGTGTTACCTAGAAACAGCCCTTCGCCCTTACCCGGCACCAACGGGCAGGCTGGGAACTTCACCAGTGGCTTTTTCTCCCTGGTGAAAGCTGTGCTGAGACTGCAAATTAATTCATGAGGACTTGAATGGTTCTGGCAGCCCCCAGCTGCTCCCTGCTCAGAGCCCTGGTCATCTGAGATGGCCCAGGGGGGACACAGGGCAGCAATAGCCGGGGAACAGAAAGTTTCCAAGTTCACCAAGCCTCTAACTGGGCTGCTTCCAGCTAGGAGAGTCCAGAAAAAGCAATCTTCCTCATGGCTGGAGTCTGTAGTGCACCTGTGAGATGGTCCCTGCACATCTCAGTCATCTCATCCCATGGGGGTCATTTGTAACACCCCGATGGGCGTGGTGTTAAGTTGGTTGTTAATGAAATAAGCTCCTGCTTATAGACATGCATCTCCCCAGCCCAAGGTCTTCAAAGGCCTGCTGGATCTGGAACCCATTTAATGGAGACTCTGGAAAAACTCTCCTGCAGTGAATTCTTCCACAGGGGAAAGGGAAGTGGCATTTCCCCACGCTGGGTCCCTGTGTTTGTGCACCACGTCCCCCCACCCCAGTGCAGAATATCCTGCCTGTTTTCTGCCTCGCTATGTTTTCCCCTCCTCCTGCTCCCACAGAGCAGCTGTAACTTTTCAAACTGCAGTTGCTTCATACACAGCCATGTTTCAGGGGGCTGGTGGGATGTGGTCCAGCTTTTTGTCCAGCTTTCTAGCTAGCTTAGCCACCTCCATCTGCTTAGGGAAAAGTAAAGGCAACATGGAGGCGTGCACAGAGCTGGTCTGAAGTGACAAGAAACACCATCTCTGCTCTTTGTTTTCTCTGTATTCCTAGTCTCTCTGCCTGTTAAAGGGGGGAACAGCACTCCTGACCTCTGCCTTGGGCTCTTTGGGTGGCCTTGCTGGGTCTTTCCAGCCTCCCAGGGGAGCCTGTCCACGGCCATGAGCATGAGAAAGTTAAAGGCTGAGATAGGAACCGTTGATACAGAGACTGGGTTTTAGCAAATCATTTCTGAGCAGGGCTGTGCAAGGATCCCACCCTGAGCCATGCACAGGCAGCTGCACCGGAGCAGATCATGCAGCAGCTCGTGGCAACAGCATCACTTGAGCCCTACCATCCCCCCGTTCTCGTTTCTCCCCCTGCCTCCGTGCATCCCCTCATCTCCATCTGCTCTCCACCATCCAGCAGAGCCCCGGCATCCCGGGGGGGCCCTGAGCCCCTCCCCACTCCTGCTTTCTCTCTCTCCGTGCTGGAGCTTTGCATAGCGACAGGAATGAGTCTGCCTTCCCCTCCCCCTGCCCCCAGATCTGGACCATCAGCCGCTCTCTGGCATCGATCTCCTTCGTGCTCGGCTTCCTACAGCCATTTGGCGGTATTGCAGGGGGAGGGATTTTCTTTCTCCTCTCCCGTGCCCTGCTCCCTGAATAAACCTGGCTGGAGAAACACCGGGGGCAGGGCCTTAAATGAGGCGGAAAAATAAATAAATATCGGATTTCCCTTAGTGCATTACTAATGATTGTGACTGCACAATATGTTTGGGCAATTTCAGGGGGGCAGGGGGTGTCTGTGCCACCCTCCCCAGCACATGGTTGGTGCCACCCCGGTTTGACAGTTTGACACACCGGGGGGCTGCTGGGGCTTGGGGTGGGCTCCGGCCGGCTCTAACAACACGCCCTTCTCTTCGCCCCCCTCCCTCTGGCGTCCCCCACAGAAGCTGCTGATGGTAACTCGACCCTGGGCGGCGGGAATGGCACAATGGGGCTGAGCGCCCGCTACGGCCCCCAGTTCACCCTGCAGCACGTCCCCGACTACCGGCAGAACGTTTACATCCCGGGCAGCAACGCCACCCTCACCAACGCCGCCGGCAAGCGCGACGCCAAGAACGCCGCCCCCGCCGCAGGCAACAAGAAGAAATCCGGGAAGAAGGAGAAGAAATAGAGAAGAAGAAGAAGGAGACCTTAGAGCTACAGGGCAGCCGGCTCCAGCACTCCCCTTAAAAAAAGCCACAGCCCAGGCCGGAGGACGAATGTGAATTATTATTTTTTTTTTTTTAAATCTTTTTTTTTTGTGATGCGAAAGTAGGAAATGCTGCGAATGTATCTCGTCATCATCAGGTCTGGGAGCAGGGACTCGCTGCTCTTAGACCTCGTGATGGAAACCAATCTGAAAGCTGAACCGAACACAAACAAGTGCCCTGTGAATAATGTTTTATACGATCCCTCGGGTATTACAATATGCAAGGGCGGAAGGTCTTTTGCCACGTCTTTGGATCCGATTTGCTCCCAAGGCTAAGGCTTTGTGCTTGGCTTTGCCCAATGTAAATAATTTTAATTTATATAGCCCTTCAATAATTTTTTCTTTTTGGAACGGAAAAGGAAGTTCTTAGCTTAGAGCCCACGCTCCAGTTCTTCGCTCTTAAATTTTCCATTCGTAAAATTCACCCCCCGCCAAGTTAATGATAGTGATGGATTTGGGAATTTGGAAGTTGGTAGGGAGTGCTTCAGTTCCTGCTTACCTGTCACCCAGAAAACGAAAAAAAAAAGTGTTTATATTGCATGAGTCAAAGGGAATATGGCAAAGCTGCATCCTAAACATTTTTTTGTTTGTTTGTTTGTTTGGATTTTTTTTTTAAAGCGTAACCACTAATGGCCTGAAATACGAGAAAGTAAAAAGCCCTCCTGATGTCTGAGGAGCAGGGAATTCTATAAGGAGCATTGCCGAGGTGTGCGGCAGCTGCCCCGGCGGTTCTAGGGGTCTCCGAAGAGCAGACACATCTCAAACCTTCTTTGCAGTAAATATTTATATGTACAGTCGATGTTCTTATGGAATTAAGGCTAAGAGAGCCTCGCTCCCCTGCGGCCAGGCGCTTGCCTGGCCAGGTCCCCGCCTGAGGGGACACACGGGGACGATGCTTCACGTCTCTGCACAGTGTCTGCATGCACGTCCCTCACCTCACACCTGCACTAGCGCAGTAGCTCCACGGACCCACAGAAGTCCTCGCATGCCCACGCAGCGTGGTGTGAACACGCCGGCAGCCGCCCGAGCCCCCGCGCCGGGGCTGCCTCGAGGGAAGGGGTGGGAGGGGGTGGGGTGGGTCAGGCGGGGTGGGGAAACTCCTTGCTTCTTGTTTGGGCCCCAAAGCGTAATTTGGGGTGATAAGGCAGTTTTTCAAGGCGGTTGTTTTGGGGGGTCTCGCCCAAAGGGGTGGGATCCGCAAAGCTGCCTGTGCATGGCTTTGGTGCAGAGTTGGTGATTGAGTAAGTGATGGTTGTTTTGGTGGCATTTGGGGACCAGGTTCAGAGAAGGGACCCAAAAGCAGGGGGTGATGCTGCAAAACTAGGGACAATAACTGAGGGAGTGTCAAATGGGACCATGTGGGGCCAGCCTGGAGGAGGTGATGCTCCCGCTGGCTTTGGGCTTTCCACCCCATGAAGAGAATCAAAAGATGAGGAATAGAGTTTCTTCACGTGCCCATCATCCTTGCACCAGGCCAGCTTCCCATAGTAAAGCAGCTCTGAGCCCTCCAGGGAGGCAGAGGGGGTGCTTTGTGTAGCCAGAGTGAGGAGAGGGGCTGTGGAGTGGCCAGGAAGGGGCCCCACCGAGTTTCCCAGGGGGTGTGTGTTGTTTTTTTCCTTTTTTAATCACTAACATAACTCACCCGAGCAGATCCAGCCCTCTCAGCCAGGCTCACCCTACCCCAGCCCCCTCCCCAAACCCAGAGTAGCAGGAGCATCCTCCGTGTCTCACCCGGATCCAGCCACCTCCAGCTCTGGCTGCACTGGGAGCGGTTCCCACCCTGTCCCCTGCAGCTGCCATCTCTCCCCCCTCTAGAAATGCTGTAGCTGAATTGTAGTCTTTATATTTTCTTTTTAATCTGCAATCTGAAGGTAGCGTAGTGAGTGTTGTGTATTTAGTGGCGTGTTATTTTTAATTGCAGTAACTAACTTGTGGACATCAGTATTTTCAATTTTCTCTGTATCTTCTTTCCATGTGGTCTGTGCTCCGAGTGTACGTGAAATGAAAATACGTTTGCCCTTTCAATGTGTCTAATATTGAATTATACTTATATATTATATATATGCTTATATCCTTCTTATACCCATATAGACCAATGTCGATGTGTTACACGCAAGTTTTATACTCTAATATTTATATTGCTTTTTTTTCTTTGGGAAAAAAAATAATAAAATGGTTTCTTCTGAATAAATGGTGTTTATTCCAATGGGAGGAGGGAGGCATGGATGGGGCCTGTCCATCCTGTTTCTGCTGCTTCTGGTGGGGGTGGGAGGGATCAGCCCCAGCCTGGCTCCAGCAGTGGGGATGGTCTTGGGGCACCCCAAATCTTATGTCCCCCAGGCCTGCTCTTGTGGTGGTCTGGTGGTGTCCACAGCTACAGCCCCTTCCCCACACCGAAGGGGATCCAATTGCCCCTCTCCATCACTGGCAGGGATCTGATCACTGTTCCCCAGTCCTGGGGGGATCTGATTATGCATCTCCAGACCCAGTGGGGATCCATCCCATCACCTTCCCCATCACCAGCAGAGATCCACTCTCCCTTCCCCAAGCCCAGGATGATTCCCTGCTCGTGGAGCCCGGGCTCCCATCCCTGTGCTCGGGGAGGGCGGATGGGAGGAGAGTCAGGAGTTGTGACCGGAGTTCCCTGGCCAAGATGATCCCTCCACCCTCTCCCTGCGGGGGGTCCAACACACGCTGAAGAAAAACATCCCGCAGCTCAGGATGTCGCAACTGTAGAGGGAAAAATAAGCTGCTGCTGGCCAGATGTGAGGGGGAGGGTGGAGGAGGCGGGGGCAGAGCAGCCCCCGTGACAGACAGACTGAGCCGGGGATGGGGGTGGGAGGCGACTGGGGCTGGTCCCTCCTGTCAGCAGAGCACAGGAGGCTCCAGTTGCGAAGAGAACAGCTCCCCCTTCCTGTACTCCCATCCCTCCCTACCCTTGTCTCCACCCAGGTGCAGCTCTGTGGCCTCCACCCGCTGCCCCCAGCAGTCCCCGAGTCTACCCTCACACACAGAGAGTGTCCCCCGAACCTCCCTTGCTGACTCACAGACATTCCCCAAATCCCCCTGAACCCCACACAGACCCCACTCCCCCCATCCTGCTGCACTTCCACAGAGAGACCCCTGGAAATCCCCATGCACCTCGCAGATGGACACCCCCCTCCCCAAATTCCCTTGCACCCCACAGATCCAGCCCTGGTCTCCTCCCTGTGCACATGGGGACAGTCCTGGTCACACACACATGTGCACCCCCGTGGGAGGGGTTTGCAACCAGAGCATCCTTCTTTGGGGCAGGCAGTCCCAGGCCACGGGGCAGGCCACGGGGGGCAAGGTGGTGGCAGGGCACAGACCTGGTGACACTGTGCCCTCTGCCCCCCGTCCTGGAGTGCTGCCTCTCCCATGCTGGATCACCTGGAGCACTATAGGGGCAACTTCAGGAGGGTGATGGTGGGGATCAATCATAGTGACCCACAGCTAATGGGGAGAGGGGTTGAGCACTTCCAGGTGCCACCTGCGGGCTGTCCCCACTGCCTGCCCGTCCCAGGGCACTGGGCATTGCTGCCCTTTTCTGGTGATGCCACTGGGCACCTGGAGCCTGGTGGTGGGGGCTGTGGGTGGGGGAAGAGAGGGTGGTCGCCACCGGTAGGGAGCAAAGAGGCTTTGCAGAGCTGTGGTTTGAGGAGTCACAGCCTCCCCGGTGCCCGGAGCCCCACGGTGTCCCCGAGTCCCCATCTACGGGTGTCAGTGTACGGACGTGTTTGCAGAGGAGGCACATTGAGTTTCATTTCATTTCTCTCTCGCACTAAAACCACCCAAGGGCACTGCGAGAGCCAGGAAGGGAAAGGCACAGCCACGGACCTGGCCAATTAGCGCTGATGAAGGAAACCCGGTCAGCCGTGTTAATTATCGGGGACACGCGGCAGCAGGAACATGCTCATTCCAGCACAGCGAGCAGAGGGAGAAGCTCCCCAGCTGAGGTGCCGAGACAAGGGAGGGCACGCAGAAACACAGCCCGGATCTCAGCCCTGATGAAAAGGATGCAAATAGGGTGGCAAAACGGAGCCCCCCGGCAGTCTCTCGGGTAGAGACACCATCAGGGGATTAGAGGCATCGCCCCCGGGAAGGGTGACTGGGCCTTGGAAAGGAGGGGACGGTCATGGATGCGGGATGGGAGTGAATGAGAAGTGGGGGAGGGGGTCTTTCACCTCCAGCCATTGGAAGGACTGAGGGACTCTCTTAACTGGAGTGAGGCCGTGGGTTACAGCCTCTAGTGTGGGGTGTGAGGGGCTGTATCCCCCCACAAAACCAGGTGTGCCTGGTGTGGGAGTGTGTGTGTGTGTGTGTCGGTGTATGTGTGTTCACCAGCAAACTCTGAGGTGGCCCAGTCACCAAGCAGAGGGGGACCTTGTGTCTGGGACAGGTTATCCATCCTGGGATACTCTGAACATCCCTCAACAACCAGAAGGGCTCGTGTCTTCCATCCCTATGCCCTCCTCCTTCTCCCCCTCCTCCATCTCCTTCTTTCCCCCACACTGGGATCAGCTCAGCACCTTTTCTCCCCCTCCCTGCTTTCCCTTGTCACCCTCCCAGGTGACAACCAGGGCATGGGATCAAGGGAGCCCCAGGCTGCTCCACAGGCAGTGGAGCTGGAAGCTCTTGCTGGTGCAGGAACAGGTCCCACAGTGGTGGAGACCCCCTTTTCGTTCCACTGGGGATTGTTCCCAGCTCACCTCCTGCTCCTGGCAGGGCTGGAGCATCCAGATGCCAGAAGCAGTGATGGCCCCATGTCACCAGCTTGTAGGGCCCTTGTTCACAGTAGTCACGTTTTTGGACCAATTGACCTTGAAAATCAAACCAAAACAACAACAGGGGAAAAAAAAAAAAAAAAAAAGGAATTGAGCCAACCCAGTTTCCCACTGGGTCTGTAAGCTGAGCTGACCTGTCACTTGGCCACATCCTGCATCAGGCTGTGGTCACGGGATGAGTCCCATCAGGCAGCTCCTCCAGCCATGACTTCACCCAGCAAAACAGAAGGCGGGGAAAATCACCAAAAAAGCTGAATTTTCAAGCTGTTCCCTCTCACCCCTTCCTTTGGGGTCCCCAAAAGCAGTCAGGAGGTTGTCGTGGGTTCAACACAGACACTCAGAGTTGGAGCCTGCCCTGAGCAGAAGAAAATCCTGAGATTCAGTTACAGTGGGGGACTTCTCCTCCTATAAACGCCTCAGAAGGGAGGGCAGCAGATGCAGTCAAAAAGCACTTGGAAATCCCAGTACTTGGGACACAAAAGGTCCTAAAGGGACTCAGGGGCAGTGGGTGCAAAAAGCCAGGCAAGCAGAGTGGGTGTCTGTAAATGGGATGTTCGGTGGGAAAAGTTCCCACAGCCCCTTTGCCCTGCTCTCCTCCAACCCCCTCATCACATTCCCTCGGGATTTTATTTTCCCCTGACACAGCTGGCTCCTCTCACACCTCACATTCCTGGGTGAGAGTGAGAGGTGTTTCACCAAGCTCCACATCGATTCCTGCTCAGCAAATCCACTTTGTGACGCTTTGATTTATGATTATTAATAATAACAATAAAGTGTGTGCGTAGATGGAATAAAATTTGCCTTTTGCTGACTGAAACCTCGTGACTGCGGTGAAGGAGAGGGCGGAGGGTGGGCACTGACTGCCCTTGGCTGGCCCTGTCCGGGCTCGGGAGCTGCCAAGACCTCATCCATCACGTGGAGGAGCAGGACCAGCCCTCAGCCGTTCTCCAGGCTGTGGGAGACTGGACAAAATAGGATGTGGTGGGGTTTTGCCCTTTCGCAGCCTGTGTGACCTCGCAGTGGCCTCTGCTGTGCGGTGACAGGAGCTGCTGGGAGAACGCTCTGTGTGTCTGTCTGTCCTTCCCGCGGGGCACAGCCCTCCTCCCAGCCGTGCTGGTGGCAGGGTGCCAGAGGAGATGAGTGCCAGGGAGCCAGCCGGGACCTGAAGTCATGGAGCTGGGAGAGGGCAGGGAAGGGGAGTGATGCCAGGAGAGGTGAAGTCAAAACAGGCAGACGCTGCACAGGCACCGCTGTTGGGACACGGTGCAGCTGGAGGGGCTCAGCTCCAAGGGGACACTGCTGTGCATCCACCCCGATGCCCTCCTGCCCTACTGGAACTTTCTGTGGCCCCTGTGGTGCTGTGGGTGGGACTTGCCACCGTCACTGTCACCGAGCTGCTGCTGGTGGCAGAGCCAGCCCATGGCTTGGTCTCTGTGTGTGACACTGCCTCTGTGTGTGACACACCCTCTGTCCCCCAGAACCCAGTGCTGGCCTCCCCAAACCCATCCCTGGGGAGTCCCTGGAAGTGCAGAGCCAGGGCAGGGCTAATTCCCAAAAGGGATGCCCTCACCCCTCGTTAGCTCCGGGGAGCTGGGGCAGAAGCAGAGCTTCAGAAAAACCCCAGCGAAAAAAAAAAAGCCAAGAAAAGCCACCCAGCACTGCTTACCCAGTCCTTGTCCCTTTGGTACATGCCAAAAGTGGCCATGCCCAGTTTAGGGAAGGGATTTTGGACCCTCTCTCCATGTGAGCACTATCCAGAGCTTTGCCGGGGCATCTGGAAGAAGAAAAGGGAATGATGGGGCATGTTCCCCTTGCAGGGAACAGGAGTGTGGATGTCACAGTGGTCATCGTGCTGGCCGAGGTTTGGAAATCGCTGGGGAGCAGAGACACAGCCGGGGGAACTCCCCTCCTCCCCCACACGGTTCATGCCTCATCAGGATTTGATTCGGGGTTTGAGGGGAGCCCTCCCTGCGAACCCCAAGTGACACAGCCCGGAAAAGAAGCCAGTGAAGGCGAGTGGTGCCAGAGGGCAAGGACACCCCCGTGAGACCGGCGGGCTTTGGGGAGCAGTGCCCGCCACTCCCTCCAGGGGCAGCTGCACGGCCGGTCCCCAGGACGTGGGTGGGTGCCAAATCGGGGGGTGGGGACCCTGCCATCCTCCCCGTCACCTCCAGAGCAGGGCACAGCCGGGGGGGTCCCTGCGAGCTGCAAGGGCAACGTGGGGGCTTGACCCCCCCCGAGATGAATGAGAAGGAGGGTGTTTGCTCTGCGGAGAGAGACGGGACGGGCGCCAGGGAGGGAGAGCAGCCAGATGTGGGGAGAGGGAGAGGAAGAGGCAGACAAGGCTGCTTTGTGCAGGGCAGCATCCGGTGAGGGGAAAGAGGGGGAATGGGGAAGGGGCTCTGGGTGCCAGGTAGGGAGGGGGTCGGGCTGTCTCCCTCCAACCCCCTGGTCCCCACAGTGGGGTGCACGAAATAGTCCACTGGGGTGCAGGAAGAAAATGGATTTTGTACCGCTAAACCCTTCAAAAATACTTTAAAATACTGGTTTTTTTTTTCATGTGTATCCCTTCCTATTATAATTTATGTTTTAGTTTGTGCTCTGCAATGTACTCCTTAGCCCAGCAGTGCATGTATGGAATTTATAAATCAATAAATACAGTAGGGAGGGTGGAATAAGAAAATGTGGAGCCTGGAGCTCCACAGGGTGGTTGGTGGGTGCTTCATGTTGTTAGAACCCAAGTGTCCTCCCCCGCTGCTCAGCACCCCAGGGCAATGGGACACATCCTCCTGCTGAAGCTCCTGGGGTCTCTACCAAGCTCTGCAGAGATCTGGGGTGTCCCCACCCCTCAATGTGCGACCAGCCCCGTTGCCCCTCTTGAGGCCACCCCAGCCTGGCCTCTCTCCATCCCCTGGGTCCCTCTGGCCAGGCCCAGTGCCAGATTTAAACAATTATTTTATCCCTGCTCTTTTTTTCCCTCTGTTTTCACGGGACAACATGGGCCTCCCACTCCCCAATTAGCAACTTGTCATTGACAAGCTCATCAAAAGGCTGCTAAAAAAACCCAAACCGAGACTTGACAAAAACTAGGGCAATAATCAGGTCTCTGCCCTCATTTTTAAATTATCCCAGCAGTCCCCTGTGTGCCCATGCTGGTGGGGACCTGCTCCCAAAAGCCCCATGGAGCCAGTGCTGTGTGGCTGGCTCCACCCCACACCTGCTGGGGGACACCTCAAAGAGAAAAGGGGAGTGGGGAAAAGGCAGAGTCATTCTGGGACACAAGCCTGGCTGGTGGCCATACCCCCCCCCCAACTGCCTGTGGGGGGATGGGGAAGGCACAGAAGTTGACTGAGGATGAGGAGGAGGGACTGGAACAGCTCCAGGACCTCTCTTGGGGATGTCCTACCACCACCGTGGAGGTAGGGACAGGAGGAGGGGCTGATCCCCACCACAGGCAGGGGGTAAAGGCAGTGCTACCTCAGCAGCAGAGGGACAGGGATGGCCACTGATGGGGTTTGGACACGCCTTGGGGTACCTACCATGAGGTGCCAGCAGGACTTTGGTACCAAAACAGCCTCTGCAACGTGCACTTGTCCCCAGGACCAGGAACACAGCCCAGGCTCAGCTGTCCATGCAGCCTTTCCCCCTTGGCTCCAGCCTCCCACACAGAACCAGTCCCAAGGACAAGCTTCTCCTGTGCCACCAAGCCAGGGCCACGTGGATGAACATTTGTCCCTCCAAAGTGGCCATCTGGGAGAAGGTGTCCTTCATCCCAGCAGAGCAGCAGGGAGTTGCAGCCTGGCCCAGTTCTGCCTGGTTTGACCTCTAAGCTCAGCCGGTGGCTGGGCTGGTCCTGCTGATGTGACAGCCAAGCAGGAGGATCCTCTGTGGGGCCACAGGGAGGGACACAGCTGTCACAGAGCTGTCACACAGGTAGGTACACCTCTGGGGACAAGAAGGCTCAAGCAGTGTCACCAGGGCTCTGGTTGCTGGTTTATCCCTGAGTAATATCCCTCATGGACAGTGAGGGCAGCTCCTGTACTCCCCACTTCCCACCTGCCTGGCATTTGGGTGACATTTGGGCAGGGGGGACACCCCCCTCCACCAGAGCCCACTTTATATCTGGACTCTCAGGCGCCACACCAGGTGTTCCAAGGTGGATTTTTGGTGCAGGGAACAGGATTTCCAGCCTTCCCCTGAGATATGGGGCAGCACCACAGACAGCTGCTCCAGTCTGGGTGAGGTCCCTGCAGCTCAGTGCCACAAGGCTCCAGGTTCATCTCTGCACCAGCAAAGTTACGATATGGAGGCAAAAATCATATTTTTGTGGCAAAAATCGTGTTTATTTCTCCATCTTTTGTACACACAAGCTCTCAAACAGCACTCCCAGAGCACCCCTCTCCCACAGCTGCAAAGCCATGAAAAAAGGCTTTAGATGAAAGGAACTGGTACAAGAAAATACAGAGCTCCCAGGCAAGGCTCCAGGCTGGCCCAGATGCAGCTCACGTATCCCAGTTTCTCCTTCAATTTGCAGATTTCCGGACATTTTGGTAGCTCAGAGCAGCCTTGGACACTTGGCATCTCCTGCCTGCCCTAATCAGCCTGGCAGAGCCCACCAGCCCCCCGAAATGAGGATGGCACAGCCCCACAAGGAGCCATCTGATGCCCCAGGCACCAGGAGAGCAGAGAGACTGATGCTTTAGTTATCCTACCTGCCCTTTTTGACTCCCTCATTCTTTTCCAGGGGGGTGGGAAGGAGTCAAGCCTTGTGTCTAGTGCTCCACCCCACAACGGGGGAACCACAGCTCCCCTGGACTGTGAGGCTGAAACAGCAACACTTCCCTGTCAGATCAGCCTTTTTCTCCCTTTTCTCTCTCCAGCACAAAGCTCCTGTGCACAGGCACCACCCACCTCATCCCAAGGGCTCATCTGCAGCTGTTCTCCACGGTTCACACACAACTGGGTTTGCACAGCACAGCCCAGCACCTGTAAAGGCTCTGAGCAACGTGCTTTAGTGGAAGGTGTCCTTGCCCATGACAGAGGGTTGGGAAGAGATGGTTTTTAAGGTCCTTTCCAACCAAAGCATTCTGGGATTCTATGAAAAGTGCATTAAAACGAAAAGCTGCGAAGTGGGGACTCCAGGAGGGAGCAGTGCTCCCAGCAGCACCCTGGCACACAGGGGTTCCCACAGGAAAGAGCCTGCCCTGTGCTGGGTGACGCCAGCAATGCCCCCCAGACCCTGCTGCAACACCTCTATGCCTGCTCAGCCCTCCCTGGCTGGCTCTCACAGATTGGAAGGTGCCAACCTGCCTTCTCTCCCTCCCTATTTCTACCTATTTCCCCCCCCCAGCATTCCCAGCCACCCTATTTCCTTCTCTACCTTCCTGACACCCCAGCTCTTACCTGGGCTGGGATCAGCCTGTCTCCTCCCTCAGGGATGTGGTGACAGCCAGGATGTAAGCCAGTCCCAGATGATGCTGGGCTCTTATGGATCCCTCTCTTACTTCAGTGTTATAAATATGCTAAATCAGAACAAGAAAACAGCTCAACACCTGGAAGCCACAAGCTGGGGCAGAGCTGTTCCCACTGTAAACTCCACCAGGATCCAGCACCCTGCAAGACCAGACCTGGGCTCCCCGACTGTCACCCCAGCACGGAGCTGTGTGTAGGGAGGGCTGTGGCTTTGCTCTGTCCCTGCCTTTCTGCCCAATCTGCTCCACCGTGAGAGCAACAGATGATGTTCCTCCCCTTGGCTTCAGCTGTCTACAGGGTCTACTCCAAAGATGGGTCAGGAGAGCTAAAATGATGCAAAAATTGCCACTAGCAGTCCCAGGAGGAAGAAGGAAGATAAATTATCCTCCATATCATGCCCAGATCCCAGAGTGAAACTGTATTTTACTTACTGAAAGCCCTCACAGGTCGAGCAGCATTCTGCCTTTGTCCAGGAGCAATGTCCAACATGAGCAGATGCTCCTCCATCTCTTGTCACCTGGCTGGCTTTGCTGGTCTTTTGCTTGATTCTGAAAACAAGGGGATGTTAAAAGCAGGGGGAGAAGCTCCTCCAGGCCAGCTCTGGCACAGACCACCTTCCTCAGGGGCTGCAGCTGACTGGGCTGGAGGAGCCACAGGAGCTCAGGATGCTGCAGGGCTGGGACATTCTCACCACGGGATCAAGGCTGCAAAAGGCATCCCATTAAGGGATCAGGCACCCACCTGCTCTCACCCCAACCCAAGAGGAAAGGGGTAGCTCTGACAGTAGCGCCTGCTGGGCAACACCGTGACCCAAATGGCACTCCAGAGCACAGGAGGCTGTGCCTCCCATGCCTCCCTCGTGCATCCCATGGGAGAGGACAGGCGGTGTGATGGAGGATGCTGCCCCCAGGCTCTCACAGGGCTGTGCTGGCAAAGATTACAGCCCAGCCCTGCCCGAGCCCTCCCCTGCTCCACAGTTTAGCCTTATCCATGTAAGCCTCCCAGTTCTGTTGCCCTAGAGACACAGACAGTGTCTACCCTTAAGAAGCCTTCGTGGCTTAAAGCCGGAGCTCATCCAGCCCGTGACGCCGCGCTCCGGGCTCTAACCCCGAATCAGAGCAGCTGCCGGGCGGCAGCCGGCCCCGGGACACTCGGGTGACGAGGGCACGGGGTGAGCGTGGTGGCTGAGCCCCGGCACGGCCACGGGGCCAGCACCGGCACGGCCTCTCTCCCGCCTGCAGCGCCTCCGAAGATGTATTTTTTACGACTGGGAGGAGACGGCAGAAGGGAGAGGAGCGGCTCAGGGATAAGAAGCAGCGTCCCAGTTACTGCCCAGGCGCTGCGGGAGGGAGGGATTAACTCCTTCAGGGCTGAAAACCTTCTGTGCTGTCATCCCCAGCTCCTGAAACACCAAAGGCAGGCACACGAAATTGTACAGAGACAAGGTACAGGATTTAAAAGCTTTTTGGAGACTCTGGTAAATAGCGATCACAAACCCAGAACCCCTCTCTTACCCTCCACCCCTGAAACTCCCCCTCACCCCTCCTTGGTGCATCTGTCTCTCCCTGCCCCGCTCCCAGCTGCAGCCCCAAATAAAGTTGTGGCACAGTGGGCAGGAGACGTCACTTATGGGTCTGTCCTCTACCCCAGAAACCAGTAAAGCAAGAGAAACGTGGGCTGTGCACAGGGGATGGCTCAGACAGCACTTGTTCTGTGTGCACAGCAGGTCTGACACACACAGGTCACACACACAGCCTGGCTGGGAAGGGACCCACAGCCTCCAAACCTGGACATCCCTCATCTCCCTTCCCCTTCGAGATCTGCTGGCAAGGTGTCCCTTGCTCGGGGTGGGCATTTTTTTGGAGCTGGACCCCAGCGTGTGGGCCCTGCGTGGGTGCTGCTGGTGTGTCACAGCCCTTGGGGTCTGGCACTGAGCAGAGATGAAACATTTGGTGTGTGCAGACAACACAGGGAGCATTCAGAGCTGCCAGGCTTTGTGCACGGATCCCCTCGGGGCTGCAGCAGGAAGGAGGGGGGTGGGGGTGTCCCCCCAGCTGCCAGCTGGGCTGTGGCAAAGCTAGACAGGGCTGAAAGGAAGCAGGAGCCTGTACTCAATGCACTGCTTGTCCTCCTCCCTCTTCAAACCCTCCTCTGATCCAGCAGCCCCTTCTCCCCTCAGGGCTTACTCTGCATCCAGGCTCTCCCACGCTCCCAACTCCTCTCCTGAGCCCCAAGTTGCAGCAGCAGCTTCTTGCTCCTCTGGGCAGAGTCATCCTCCTCCCACAGCCCGTCTCTCCCCCCAACCAAGCGCCTTCCCGACACAGCATGAACCCGGCAGACTGCTTCCTCCCTCTCTCCCTACTTTCCTTCCTCCCTCCCTTCCCCTCCGCTCCTTGCAGCTCCTAATTGCTCCCTCACACCCCCACCGACACTCTCTCATCTCTCTCACCAGTGAATTTTCTCATATCCTCCCACCTTTTTAGTCCATGAATGTATTCCACGGCTTTTTTTAACCTGGGTAAACCATAAGCATCCGCAACATCCTGTGAAGGGGAGGGCTGTGAAATGACAGCTTGACATTTAAGGCTGCCCCTCCCAGCTCCATTCAAGCTCTTGCTTACAATTGGGGAAAACATCTTCAGTTTATCATTTCACATGTCTCCTCCACATCCCTTTCCTGAATTAAGTCTGCATCTGATCTAGCTCACGAGGTCCCTCCTCAGGCAGGGGAACCAGAGCTGCAGGCAGCACAATGTGTTTCAAACAGAAAGAAAGCTACTGCTGTGGTTGCTCTTCTCTCCTCTTCTTCCTTTCTCAGAGATTTCTAGATCTCAGAGGGAATTTGGGGTTTAAACTGCTGCAGGGCAGCACTGACATTGCACTGACCCCCCCCACACCCCATGTTTTGCTCCAAGTGGAAATGGTCAGCTTGGAGCATCATCCCTGTGTTCACAGAGCTAAAAGGGAAAAGCACAGAGAGTAGAACAAATCCTTTGAGATCATAAAATCACAGAATGGTTTGGGTTGGAAAGGACCTTAAAAACCTTCCATTTCCATCCCCTGCCATGGGTAGGAACACCTTCCACTAGCCCAGGTTGCTCCAAGCCCCATCCAACCTGGCCTTGGACACTTCCAGGGATGGGGCAACCACAGCAACCTGTGCCAGGGCCTCGTCACCCCAATATCCCATCTAACCCTGCCCTCTGGCAGTGTGGAGCCATTCCCCATGTTCTGCCCCTCCAAGTCCCTCTCCTCAAGTCCCCTGAGGCACTGGAAGGGGCTCTATGGTCTCCCTGGGATCTTCTCTTCTCCAGATGAAAATCCCCAGCTCTCCCAGCCTGGCTCCAGAGCAGAGGTGGTCCAGCTCTCAGAGCATCTTTGTGGTCCTATAAGCCACCAAGCATCCAGGTGAGGACCCTCTGATCCCTTCAAGTCAGTAATTTGTTTTTCCTACTGAAATATTGTCAGAAATATCCCTACCATTCTCAGTCTTCCTGCTGTGTTTTGTTTTCTGCCTTTTAGCCAGTTAAATACCAGGTTGCAGCCACGTAGAAATCTTCCTCTCCTCCCATGGGAGCTCAGCTTCTTTAGGAGATTGCAAGAGACCCCTTGGGAAAACCAGGCAGATTCCATCAACATGCCATCAGCAGCAGGAGGACAGGAAAACACTGGAGTTACTGAACATTAATAGCATTTTAAGCAAAGAGTATTTATGGCTCGACCAAGGGATTGTTGGGCTGGAACCCCCTGCCCAAAGATGCTATTTTTGGTCATCCCCTGCAGATCTGCTTTGAGATCTCAGTGGCTTTGTACAGGACTGACAAAGTATTTTGGGAGGATTTGGAAATTGCTGCCTTCTCCCCACAATACGTGGATTTTTGTCCCAGCATGATTTTGCCCACTAGCAGAGATGCAAGCTGCTTCCATCTCTAACCTGGGTTAGAGACGAGCATTATCATCTCCTCTCCCACATCCAGGGAACAAGGGGGAGGGACTGGGGGAGACTGGGACAAGGGGTGATGTGTCTGCTCTGTGCACCAGAAAGCAGAGTCCCCCGCTGCAGCCCAGCCCTGGCTCTCTCCTGTGGCTGCCCGGGCCAGCGGTGATGGATTTGGGATTGATTTCCTGCCTTCACTTCCCCGTGTGCCGGGGAGCAAATGGCAAAGCTGTGACATCGAGGTGACACAAAAGGACACTGGCTGAGTCACTTCAGCCACAAACCAGTTCTGAATGATTCGGCTGAAGTTCTGAGGGTGGGACAAAAGCTGAGCCGGACCGGGGGAGGACACTGAGCTATTGTGCGAGTGCCCTGCCGTGGTCCCTCAGTGACCTGCTCAGCATTCCCCTTTCCCTGACCTCATTTCCCGACAACGGCTCCTTTAAGGAGAAACTCGGCGGCTTTTCCCATTCCTTCACAGTCTAGGGACAGAGCTGCTCGTGGCTGAATAGACACAGCTGCCTGGGCAGGATGGGAACCAGAGATCAGAGCTGACAGGGCTCACACGTTGAGCTCCCGATTTGCTCGGAAGGGGGTTCCGTGACAGGGGATGGAGAAATGTCCTGACAACTGGGGATGGAGGAGGACAATACATCCCACTGGCAGAGCTCCTGGGGACCACAGAACATCAGACAGGAGGGTCATGGGGAGGAGGACTCAGGGAAGAACTGGGTCCAGCAGGATCCTCTGCAAACACATGCAGCAAACCAGTAGGGGGGTTGGGACCTGGTGTGGGTTAACCCCAGGGGGCAGCTCTGCCCCACACAGCCCCTCAGTCCTCACAGTGGGATGGGGGTAGAACTGGAAGGGGGTGGGTTGAGATAAAGGTGGTTTAATAAGTAAAGCAACAGCTGAGCATGCAAACAAAGCAAACAAAGAATTCATTTATCACTTCCCCTTGGCAGGCAGGTGTTCAGTCACTGAGCAGCTGGTGGTGTTTAGCTGCTCACCAGGGTTCAACCATGACAGGACCACAGTGCACTGCACTGAAACCACCTTCTGAATGGAGCAAAAGAGGAGGAAACCCAAAGGGTAGGGGAGGGAAATCCCACAGGGACAGGCATAATGCCTGGTGCCCCCTGTCCCAGCTCCTACCTCCACGAGCAAGCTGTAAGTGGAGTCCTCATGGCTCTTGCACCCTGTAGGCAGTGAGTCAGGGCCCCTTGTTTTTGCAGGTGTGGAAGGGGAAATCCTCCTCCTCCAGGGGAAGCTGGGTCTGGAATGGCTGTGACAGCCAGGGTTTGGATTACAGCAGGAGAGCTTCCCGTGGGCAGAGCACACAGTGCTCCTCTGGGAAAGGGCTGGAGGGTGAAACCAAGCCGGGGAGATGTCAGTGGGTCACAGGGCACGCCATCACTAACAGATGAGGTGCTGTACAGGAGCACACGTGGTGCCAGGGTCATACACACAGGGTTTGGGCTGCTGCTCACGGACACCGAGCCTGACTCTGGAGGGGGGACAGGGACACCCCACGTGTCACAGCACCAAGACACATCTGCCACACAGAGGCCAAGCTGCTGAGGGGGCAGCAAGGCTATGCTAGCCAGGGACTAGCCTTGGACTCTGCTGAGGCCAGAAGGCAGAATAGCCTGTTACAATCACAGAATTGTTTAGGTTGGAAAAACCCTCTGAGATCATCGAGTCCAACCTTTAACCCAGCACTGCCGAGGCCACCACTAAACCATGTCCCCAGGTGCCACACCCACATGACTTTTTAACACTTCCAGGGATGGTGACTCCACCCCTGCCCTGGGCAGCCTGTGCCAGAGTGTGACTACCCTTTCAGTAAAGAAATTTCCCTAATATCCAACCTGAGCCTGTCCTGGCACAACTTGCAGCCGTTTCCTCTTGTCCTGTAGCTTGTTCCCTGGGAGCAGAGCCCAATACCCCCACCTCCCTGGCTCCCCTCTCCTGTCAGGGAGCTGTAGAGAGTGAGAAGGTCCCCCCTGAGCCTCCTTTTCTCCAGGCTGAGCCCCCCCAGCTCCCTCAGCTGCTTCTCATCAGACTTGCACTCCAGACCCTCCCCAAGTTTTGTTCCCTTCTCCAGACAAGCTCCAGCCCCTCAATGTTACTTTAAATCCCTGCCCTTTTCTGCAAGTAAAAGAACCAAACACCCCACTGCCACTGTAGGCTGTGTGAATTCAGCTGGAGACTTCTCTCCGTGCTTCTCCTGTCCCTCCTCCTGCATGTGAGAGAGAAAAGTTGTATCTTCACCTCTTCTACATCTCTACTCTGGTTTTCATTTTCCAAATACTTGGCTCAGAGATCTTCCTCCCCCACTCTTCTGCCCTGGTCACCAGCTTGTGGTCACTTATGTGGCACAGATCTGGCACTGCCTTTCCTCGCTTCCACTTTGGGTCCCGCTTTTTTCTGCTTTCTTTTCCACCCTGAGCTCATCACAACCCCTCTACCCAGAATCTCCCATGCAGGGACCACTTTCAGCAGCACAAGAGCTGCTTTAACATCTCTTCACACTGGGATTCTGCTTCCTTAGCCTGGAAGACTTTGTAGTAGGACCTGTAGTAATAGGACAAGGGAAATGGTTTTAAACCAAGAGGGGAGATTCAGACTAGATATAGGAAAAAAATTCTTGGCTGTGAGGGTGGGGAGGCCCTGGCACAGCTTGCCCAGAGAAGCTGTGGCTGCCCCTGGATCCCTGGAAGTGTCCAAGGCCAGGTTGGATAGGGCTTAGAGTAACCTGGACTAGTGAAAGGTGTCCCTGCCCATGGCAGGAGGTGGAACTGGATGACCTTTAAAGGTCCTTTTTAGTCTGAACTACTTTGTGATTTTATGATTCTAAGAAAAATTTGGCATTCCAAACCACATCCCCGGGCAAGAGAACAGACCATGGCACGGTGGAAGGTGCTCTGTGAGCCAGCACAAATGGAGGGGTGGAGAAGCTATTTTGGATATGGATTAAAAGGACAGTCCACGTCAGCAACCACAGCAATACCAGCTGGGTATGTGGACCGTGCCATGGTTTCCTTGACAGCTGAGAGGAAGGAACAAACAGTGAATAGTAATAGTAGGTACTGTTTTTTCCATCCCTTCCCAGCCCTGGAGCTCCCTGTGGGAAGAAGCACAGAGGAGGCACAGCTCAGTGAGCAGCACTACCCTGCCATGCTCCCCTGCTCTGGCAGGACAGGCTGCAGGACTGCAAAGCTTCCTGTAAGACATCCATCATTCCAGCCTTGTTACCCCCCAGCAAGAAAAACACAGAACCCCGTGACACTGATGTGGCAGGAACAGGAAACAAAGCCCAGCCTCTGGACTTTGAGAGCAACAGCCTCACACCCTGCTCTGCTACAGAAAACAGCATCTTTTCCCGATTGTATCATGGAAAAGGACAATAAATATTCCATGTCCTGTTCCTCCACAAGGTAGAATCCAGTGGGTCTGAATATGCTTTGAGGGAATGTTTTCATGCCCTGTGGGTATGATGGGGGGTTGGAAGGCATCCACCTCCCCCGCTCTGGATGGGAGGGACTGAATTAGGAGGCAGACTGCCTGGCAACGCCTTCCTCCTGGGGAGGAGAGGGAAGGGGGGGATGGCTTCACAAGGATTTCTGGGCACGTTTTCTAAAGTCTTTCACTTCCTCAGAGCCCCCAGCTGTTGGGTTATTTGCTGCCCTTGGAGGCCTCTCTGGCTGCTCCACTGATCTCCCCCAGGGTCCTCTCCCTCTCTGCTTGGCCCAGTTGTCTCCTTGCGCCTTTCCCCTGAGCATCCCGGGCTGCTAATGCCCCCCTGCCCTCTAATCTCCCTTTCACTCCCGTGCTGGTGCTCAGGCCGCTAAGGAGATTATCCCGGTCACAGCTGCTCGTCCTCCCCGGCATCAGGGGTGTCACCCCGGGGGGAGCCACGTGCGGGGGTGACACATGTGCCGCCGCCACCCCCGTGGCAGCGCAGCTCTGATGCCCTCTCCTGTCCAGCCCCAGCCCCAGAGGAGGTGCCGAGTAGGATGGGATGTGTTGGGATCAGGCATTAGGAGGATATTTTCCTCCCACAAGCTGGGAATCCGGGAGACCTGCACCCATCGGGCCCCTCTTGTTCGTGTGGGAGTCTCCCAGGCTTAAAAACGAGAGGACCGGGACACCCTGGCAGAATATGGAACATCCCCCTTGGAGCACTGGGGCTCAGCCTTGTGCTCCAACAGCACAGAGGCAGATTCTATGAGGCAATTAAACCCCTAGTCCTAAATAAAACAGCACCTTCCCGCTGCCCCTACGAAGCCAGGTGGAGTTTGGGAGCTCCTGGCACCAATCGCTCCCCTCTCTGCCGATCCTCCCCGGCACTGAGGGGGTTAACTCCGAGCGCCCGGGCTCTCGCAGATCTCCGTTTCCGTGACAACAGCTCCCGATGAATCCCAGAGCTCGACAATCCCATTAAACATCTGCGAGAAACTGCGCTTGCTGCCTGCCCAGGCTGCCACCTGCCGGCACCCCCAGCCCGGCCCCGCGGCCCCACAGCCGGCACCCCAAAAACCCCGGCTCGGGGGAGCAGGGACAGCTCCAGCGCGCTGGGGTGGGGCATGAAACCTGGCTACCAGACGCGGCTTTTGGGCTAGTGAAGGGAGGCTGTAAGGATTGAGGGGGCAGGTCTACACCCCCCGAGTCCCCAGAGCTTTGGGGGGGGGCTCTTAGGAGGGACACAACACCTCTCACCATGGGCTTGGTTGGCAGGGATGCTCCTCTTGGAGCAAACCAGTCCAAATTAACTCACAGAGGGGGTCTCAAATCTTTGGGGGCAGGTTTGAGTGACAGCAGTGACATGCAGTAGGGCTTTTGAGAGTTTTACACTGACCCCTCTGCTTGGGGAGGCTCTGGGTGGCTGCAAAGGGTCTCTGAGGATGAGACAGGGCAGTGGCCCAATGGGGAATTTTAGGCTGAACTCATCCCAAGCCAGAGAAGGTGTCTGGAAGGCTGAGGAAGGATGCTGTGTCTTGGATAATTAGGGTTCCTACCTCACCTCTGTGCTTCATTCACTTCCCTCCAGATTTAGTGATTGATTTAAAAAATCAAGGATTTTTAAACACCCTTTATATCTGAACTGAGAAATTTGGGCTTTTCCCTCTCCTTCCTTCCACCACTGCCTGCAATAAGAAAAAGACACCAGGAGAAGGAGAGGAGGAAGTTGGGGAGGTGCTACATTTGAGGTGATCCCAGAATCATTCAGGTTTGAAAAGACTTCTCAGGTCATAAACCCAGCACCACTGTAGTCACCACTAAACCGTGTTCTCTAGTGCCACATCCAGAGTTTTTGAACACTCCCAGGAATGGTGACACCACCACTTCCCCGGCCTGCCTGTTCCAATTCCAAGGGGGGGCAGTCCAGGAGAGAACAGGCACCATCCTTGAGGGAAGCTGAGACAACAGCACAGGGACAACCTATTCCTGTGTCCTGGGGCTCAGTGACCTTAGAGAGAGAACCTGGGCACAGTGTCCAGGCTTGTTATAACACAGCTTATTACACAGTACACAATATCTATAAAAGGCACACATATACAACATATAAATCTTGTTACACAATGAGGCTCCTGCAGCTGAACGTGACTGTGGGACTGCTCAGATGCAGACGATGCATCCCAAATTGCTCCCCTGCACTCCTGGGTTCAGAAGTGCAGCTCTTCAGCTTTTCCTTCCATTCACAAGTGCTGCCAAGTCATTTGGATCCTGGGAAAAAGCCTCTCCTCTGCTCGGGGAAGGATGGGACAGGAAGAAAGCAGGGAGGAAGCTGTGCCTTCTTCACCCCCCTCCCCATCTAACTCCATCCCTGGGTATGGGAGGGAAAAGTCACAGGGATCTGCAGCAGCAGGAGCCCTGGAAAAACTCTGGTATCTGCAGGAACCAGGGGAATCCAAAGGGGCCATGGATGAAAGCTGACACAGAAAGAAAATGCTCTTTTTGAGCTACAAATGCTGGCACAGCTGCTGGCCAGACCCCTTCCAAATCCTGAAACATGCCAGCAAGGGGATGGGAATCATTAACTGGCTCCTTTGTGTGATTTAACCATTTCCACCTCCTCCTGCCCCCTGAATAAGCTCACAGATTCCTCAGGATTTCCAGCACCCCGGTGCTGCAGTGCCTGGGACTCCCCCCCAGCAGCAGAAAGGGCTGAGAGAACCCCTAATGGAGAAGGCAGGGCTCCTTCCCCCCTCCTCCAAAGCTTTTAAAGCAGGAGCCACGGGCACAGGGCTTTTTTTGCAGGGGTAAATGCCCAGGAAAGATGCCAAACAGCACCCAGGGGAAATCCAGAGTGGTTTGATACTCCTTTCAAAGCACAGAGCCTTGGAAAGCCCCCAGCCTCAGAAGGGAATGGAAAAAAAAACACAACAAAAAAGAAGAAACCTGTGTCTTGCAACTAAAGCAGCTGGCTGAGAGCTACAGGGTGATGTAGGATGGATGCTGAGCAGGGTGGGGACCTCTGTCCAGGGGAGCTGGGAAACAGCCCTGCCAGACACTGGGCAGGCATTTATTTTTGCTGTGGAGAGCCAAGCCCTTGGGGTTCCTGGGCTCAGGGACAGCAACGTGGGGGTCTGCAGCCTTATCTGTGCGTGCTCTGGAGCAGGACCCCTTTGTCAGAGGCAGCAAAGCAGCAGGAGGGAGGGAGGGAGGAATGTGAGGGCTTGCAAAGTGTCTCACTGCGGGAGCTGGGGCTGCCAGGAGGAGAGGATGCGTTTCAGGAAACCCAGAGAGGCAGGAAATCAAGGGAGAGGGACAGTAATTGAGTCCATATGTTGGAAGCAAAGAATGCATCTGGTAGCAGGGAGCAGGCAAAGGGAGAAGGCCCACGCTGTGGGGACAGCACAGGACATGCAGAGCCACATTAACCTCCTGCACCAAGCAGAAGGTTGAATTCAGACCAACCACAACTGCTGGGAGGGGTCACTGGTCTCTCGTTGCAGGTCTGTGCCTGTAGTAGCTACAGGCTCAGGAGGCTTCCAAACTTAAGCTCATTAATATCCTTAATTTCATGGGTGATGTTGCAAAAAGGTGAAGGAAATGGCTGTTCTATCACAAAGTGACAGAGTTTGATCTACATCCATGTCCCTGAGCATGTCTGGAGCTGGGAAGGAAAGTGGACAACATGAAAACATGGGCAGGAGGAATATCAGGTCCTTCTGCTCCCCAAAAGCAACACAGCTTTGGTGCAGGAGTAGCTGCTAATGCAGGATTGACTCAGAGGTAAGGGCACAGTCAAGGGGATGAAAGAGGAACCTGGGGCTGCACAGTCATCCCAAGGCTGTCCCACAGAGCCAATCCCACAGAGGACTGCACAGAGGATTCCCCAGGTTCATTTAGGTATTCCCAGGTTCAGGCTCCAGGGCTGGGAAAGCTCATAAAAATATTTATGGCCTCCCTCCCCCTCCTCCTCCCTTTTAAAACACATTTGCAAAGAAATCTGAAACGCATGTGGTTGGAATAGAGGAGTCTGGCACAGCATCATGGCTTGGGAAGGGGGAGAAGAGCTCTGGTGTCAACAGCCCCCTGAGCCTCCCAAGAAGCCAAGGGAGGGGATGGAGCACAGGAATACAGTGCTGAATGGGTGCACAGGCTTTGGTGTGTCCTGCAAATTGCTGAATTTCACACAGCCAAAAAGCCTCTCGGGAAGACCCCCAGGTTTAAGAAGGTTCTCTGTACCTAACAGGCTTTGCACATCGCTGAAGGTGGGTTTGCTGTGAGCTGTCCCTCAGCTGCATGTAAAACTCCTCAGGCTAACCTGCAAATTGCTGCTCTCAGGACTCTGCTGTTCTCAGTAAATTGCAACACCACTTTTGCTGTCCCAAGCCTCCATCCCTGGGAATCCAGCTCCAGAGCATTTCTCTCTTCTTCTGTAGCTCCACATGCTACTTCTAGGGCTTTGCACCCAGACCAAACTTTCTGCTGCCCCAAACACCCATTTCATCCCATACCTGCCTTTGTGCCTGTTCCCTGCTGCTCTCACTCCTGGGACTTCTCCTCTGCCTCCTCCCTCACCACCCTCACAGAGCAGATTCTGTTTCATGCTGCTCCTGGTTCTCCACGGCAGCTTCTGCAGGACAGGAGAGACAGCTGCTGTGGGGCTGCAGGAGGGGTGAGAGGGGGAAAAAACCCACACAAAAGTGTTTAAAGTCCTCCCTTGGAAGGGGGAGGGTGAGGAGCAGGGCAGAGCTGAGCAGTGGGGCTCTGGTGTAGTTGAAGATGCTCTGGTTTGAGTACATCCTTTGCAGCTTCTCACACTGTATCTTGGCATCCTTAAAGCTGTAGAACCCAAAAGTCAATGACCATAACCCAAACATGAAGTGGAAAACACCAGAGGAATGTCAGACTGCAACATTCCACCCCCTCCGTGGTTCCTCCCCACTCAGAGGTTTCAGCAGACCATAATGCTGAGATGGACCCAGCCCAACCCACTCAGTGCCTGGGTGACACTTACACCTCCAGTGTCGAGGGTGGACAAGGGGAAACAGCCTCAAACTGTGCCAGGGGAGGTTCAGGTTGGACACCAGGAGGAATTTCTCCTGGAAAGGGTGGTCAGGCAGTGGCAGGGGCTGCCCAGGGAGGTTTGGAGTCCCCATCCCTGGAGGTGTCCAAGGAAGGACTGTCCGTGGCACTCAGTGCTCTGGGCTGGGGACAGGGTGGGGATGGGGCTCAGGGGGGATCCACGGGCTGGGAGGGCTTTTCCAGCCTCAATGATCCTGGGATTCCAAGATTCCGTGGTAGAGCCCTGACTGCTCAAAGTCCATCAGAACACTGCAACACCGAGACACTCAGAGCACTCCTTGGCAATCCCACAGCACTGCCAGCAAACCACCAGGCTCCAAGCAGTCCAGAAACTCCAGGAATGCAGTCAGGCAACTCATTTTTAGATGACAACTAAACAGAGCAGTGATCCCTTTGCACAAAGCTGTCGAAGAGGCTCAGAACGACAGAATTCCCTGTGGATGGCAAACAGCATCTCTGCAGCACTGTGAGATCCCCCTCCCCACCCCCCTCAGCTGTAGAGGAACATTCCATGGTCCATACCACACCAGAAATGTCTTTTCCCCACATAACAGACCCTTCTATTCTCTTTCCAAACTTTACTGAGACCCATGAATCCCTTCTACCACAGCTCACATCCACTGTGAAGTATTTTTCTTCCTAAAAGCAGAAGGATATTGTCAATTCCCCCCCCAGATTTGTCACTCTTATCTGATCTGTGTCAGCCGGGAAGTTCAGAATATTCCACTGCACACTCAAAATCTGTCCTTTTGTCCTGTTTAAGCTTTTCCTCAAGTTCTCAGCAGACACTGAAAAAAAAAAAAAAAAGACATAAAAATAGAGAAGGACATTCCTAAAATATTTGCTTTAAGCAGGAGCAGTTTTCTGTCCTGCAAGTGTCTCCAGTTGTACCCACTGAAAATCCCTGTGACCTCACTGCCGGGAGTGTGGCTCATCCCCTCTGCTTAGATCCAGGCAAATAATTCCCCCCAAACATAATTAACTACTTCAGGCAATACCTCAGTGCTCCCTCAGCAGCAGATCTGCCAGGAAACACGGTCCTTCCTGCCCCTGGATGGTGTGTGTGTGCTCAGAGAAGGGCAGAGCTCATCACACAGATGCTCACGTGCATTTTCCAGGCAGATCTGAGAGCTCTGCAGCATAAAAACCCATGAAAGTGGAAAAAAAGCTCTGCCCCCTCTCTTTTTTTTACATTATTTTGGCATGGGACACACATCCCAGGGAACGTCTGCAAGCTTTAACAGTCTCCACAGTGAGGGAAAAGAAAGTGGATTTCTTTGGATTTATTTTTTCCAGCTCTTTCAAGACCTGCAGCTTGAACAGTGAAAAGACCCTGAGAAGTGACTGCCCAGCTCCAGTGCAGCCTGGGACAAGGGCACTGGGTTATACTGAGGAGTTACTGTATGTTAGAAGAGGGTTTATAGATGAATATCAATATTAGACCAGGTAAGACACAGATATATAATATAAATATAAATATAAATATAAATATAAATATAAATATAAATATAAATATAAATATAAATATAAATATAAATATAAATATAAATATAAATATAAATATAAATATAAAGCCAGAGCAGAGCTCGAGGGGAGGCACAGTCAGTTGTTCAGCAAGTTTCCATCCTCTAAGGGACGGATGCATCTGCACTCCGTGTCGTGCCTCCTGCTTTCCTTCCTCCCTGGACACTGACTCAGCACCTCCAGCCTTTTACCACAGGACAAAACAATAGGTATCCTTCCTCCCAGGCATCACATCCGCTTGTTTCATCAATAATTCTTTCCCTCTGCAGTCCAGCACAGCCACAGCTTTAAAAGGAAAAAGCTTCCACTGCAACCACACAAACAAAGCATCGTTAGGAAGCAGACCCAGGCTTTGCAGACACAGCAATGAACCAAAACTGTCTTTGTTCAGAGCTGCTGAGATCCAAAAAAACCCCTGCTCCTGAGCCACAGCAAACACCTCTCCATCTCTGGGATCACTTCTGATCCCAGGACTCTGTGTCTTGGAGCTGCACATGAGAAAATCTACTCAGGAAAAAATCCGGTCAGGGCATACAAGAGGTATTGAAAGCTTTGCCATCAGGTATTTCCAGGTGCTGGACACCCTCTGGGTGTACTCCCTTGCCACCCACATGCTGAGAAAAATAACCTGGAGGGCACCAATCACTTCCCTGAGCTGCCCACAGACAAGGACTCACCTTGTAGAGAAATGAATTCTCTGGTTCTGTGCATCTCTGCTCCAGAGTCTCCAGGATATGCTGGAGCCATCACCCTGAGGACACCCACATGTGAGGCCCTGCTTTGAGTCACAGAGATGGAGCCCCCACACAGGATCACACCCAGGACAATGTACCAAGCAACAAATAAGGATTATTTTTAGTGTCAGAGGCAGCAGGTGTGTGGGACCCACCTGCAGCACTGCATCCAGTTCTGGGGGTCGCAGCATCAGAAGGGTATGGAGCTGTTGGAGGGACTCCAGAGAATGCCATGGAGATGCTCCCAGGGCTGGAGACCCTCTGCTCTGCAGCCAGGCTGGGAGAGCTGGGGGTTTTCATCTGGAGAAGAGAAGGCTCTGGGGAGATCTGAGAGCCCCTTGCAGGGCCTAAAGGGGCTCCAGGAGAGCTGGAGAGGGGTTTTAGACAAGGACCTGGAGGGACAGGACAGGGGGGAACGGCTTCAAACTGCCAGAGGGCAGGGTTAGGTGGGATATTGAGAAGAAATTCCTCCCTGTGAGGGTGGGCAGGCCCTGGCACAGGTTGCCCAGAGAAGCTGTGGCTGCCCCATCCCTGGAAGTGTCCAAGGCCAGGTTGGACAGGGCTTGGAGCAACCTGGGCTTGTGGAAGGTGTCCCTGCCCATGACAGGGGCTTGGACTAGAGGCCTTTAAAGATCCCTTCCAACCTAAACCCTTCTGTGACCCTTCAGTAGGGGCAGGGGGTGTGCAGGCACTGGGGACTTGCGGGCAGAGATTTCCCCTTTGTCATCATCAGCTCTCACTTGTAAGATCAGATGCTGAAAGCATTAAATGATGCCTGAAGCCCCCCAGGCTTCAGAGCTATCAAACACTTGTCTCCTGCTGACCTGAGGCAGAGTCCAACACGGTGACAAGCACAGAAATCAGCAGGAGGATGAGGCAGAGAGATGTGTCTGAGCAGAGATCAAGAGATGCTTCCTGAGACAAACGTCACCGAGCATGGCTGTGCCACGGGGTCCTGCAGCAGCACAGGCATGGCTGGAGCAGCTCACTGGGCAGAACACTCTGCTTTTTGGGCTCCCACACGACAGAAAACAGGCAGTTACTGACAAACAACTGCTCTCGTGCTGCTCACCAACTTGTTATAGCAACCAGAACTATCTTCTGAACAGGCAGGTTCTGTCTTCAGAGCAGCTTTGCACTTAGACCCCATCCTTGGGACAGCTCTCAGGAAGAGGAATCACAGAATGGATTTGGATCCAATCACAGAATTTGGATTGGAAGGGATCTTAAGGATCAACTTGTTCCACCCCCCTGCCATGGGCAGGGACACCTTCCACTAGCCCAGGTTGCTCCAAGCCCCGTCCAACCTGGCCTGGGACACTTCCAGGGATCCAGGGGCAGCCACAGCTTCTCTGGGCAACCTGTGCCAGGGCCTGCCCACCCTCACAGGGAGGAATTTCTCCCCAGTATCCCATCTAAACTTGCCCTCTTTAGAAGATATCAGACCAAGTGTATGTTTTCAGGGCCAGGAACGGGCTCATAAGTTTATCCAGGAGTTGAGGAGAATGGAGAATCTCAGGTTACACACACCTGGGCACAGGAGATGCTTCCACAAGAATCATCAGCAAGGGCAGAGTCATCATCCCTTCCAGAGAGAGCCCTCTAAGCCCCAAGTGCATCTGAAGTGTAAAAATAGGACTCTGATCAATAAAAGGAAAAAAATTACAGGAGCAGGCACTTCTGAGCTATTCCATCCTTCCTGTATTTTCAAACTTTTTAAAGGTTCCAGCGTTAGGAACAGCATCAGATTTATTTTCCACTCGAGGTCATGGCTTTAGGGAGCTCGTCCTCTTTGGTTCACAGTTCAGACAGGGGATGCTGCTCTCCCAATTCCTACCTCACTGCCTTCCTCCCCATTATCCCACAGCAAGGCTAAACAGGACTGGGAAAACTTAACAGTTCTGCTATGGGAGATCTTTTAGATTTGAGAATTTAGATCTGACTTCTGGAACTGAAGAAAGGAAAAAAAAAAACAACAAACGGGATGAGATTTTCCTACTGATGTTGCACAGCCAAAATTTTATTCACTTGGAATTAAATGTGTCCGGAGAAAATAATTTTTTCCACTGGAGTATTACCAGATGCATTTAATACAACAGATTTCTCCTATAGGGACAACCCAGAATTCCCTGTCTTAAGAAACCAGGACAACTGAGACCTGCTCAGGGTATTTTGGGAAGACAAATAGGGAGCTCTTAACTCTTCTTTTTTTTTCCCCTGCCTTTAAAAAAAGCAGGGTGGGGGTGTGGAGCCAAGCAACCACATTCACGAATGGGAACAAGGACATGGAGCAGATTTTCTAGAACATATACTTGTATAAAGAAAAGCATTGTTTGGATCTTAAAGATCCATCAGGTCCAAACTTTCCTTATGTAGATTCTCCCTAAATCAAAGTGAGATGATAAAGCTGCCTCCCATACAGGAACGGGGTCAGTTTATCCAGAAACTTAAGGAATAAAGCTGGAATTTAACAGGCCTGGGGGAATAATTGCTGTCCAAGAAGGTAAAAGACACTGACAGCATGTTTGGTTTTTTTTCTAGAAATTAAACACAGAATTTTAATTCATTGCTGGCTGGTCATAAGGATGCTAAAAACCATTCCCAGGAAGCAGGATAAGGAGGACAAGGAGACTATGGAAAAAAAGTTCCTCCTCTCAGACAGGGTGTGTAGCAGACAGACCAGGGAGAAGAGGTTTTTGAGTGTCGTTTTTCCTGTAAGAGCTGACAAATCCAGACCTAAGACTAAACCTGAGCCCACACAGTGGCCTAACCTGCAGATCCCTAAGTCCTCTCCCTTATCTCCCTAAATGAGCACAGCTCTGTTGCGCTGTGTGGTAATTAGAAGCAATTACAATAGAAGAGGTAATTACAACTGCTGGGAATGCTGATCTCCCTTTTCCTGCCCTTTCTTTCTGCTGTGACCTCGCCCCGGGAACCTCTTGGGACAACAAAAGGGGACAAGGGTCATTAAAACAACCACTAAACATCAGCCAGGGCTGGGCAGAGCTGAGCTTAATGGGTAGTTAGCACCTGCCCCTAATCAAAGCAGCCTCCAGTCAACACTCCCAGCCTCAGGACTGACAATTGGAAGGTTCAAGGAGTAGGAAAAGTGTCTGAGGGACTCCTTGCTGCGCTGGAGAAAGTGCTTGTTGAGGGAGACTCCTGCTGTGGTACTATTCCCAGGTGGCCACTGGGGAGTTTTCCCTTTCCCTTTTTGCTCTTTTCTCCCGTTTATTCCCCCTCCCCACACCCCAGAAAGGAACTTTCACTGCTATAGCTGATGTTTAGCTCTAGCACCAGATTCTGAGGATAAATCTGGTGTGTGTGAGCCTGTCTGGTCATCTTTTGTGCAACACCAGACAGGGAAAACTCTGCAGGGAGCATGGAGGTGGAATCCCACAAGGAACACAGCAGTGATAAATGCAAGTTCTTCCTAGGGGAAGATGCTGATCTCTGCTTAGATGAAAAGTCAATTAAAATCCCAGAGTGGCTTGGGGTGGAAGGGATCTTAAAGCTCATCTCGTTCCACCCCCTGCCCTGGGCAGGGACACCTTCCACCAGCCCAGGTTGCTCCAAGCCCTGTCCAACCTGGCCTTGGACACTTCCAGGGATCCAGGGTAGCCACAGCTTTTCTGGGCAACCTGTGCCAGGGCCCCACCACCCTCACAGGGAGGAATTTCTTCCCAATATCCCACCTAACCCTGCCCTCCGGCAGTTTGAAGCCATTCCCCCTTGTCCTGTCACTCCAGGCCCTTGTCCAAAATCCCTCTCGAGGTCTGTTAGAGCCCCTTTAGGCACTGGAAGGGGCTCTCAGGTCTCCCTGGAACCTTTTTTTTCTCCAGGCTGAACAATCCCAATTCTCTTAACCTTTCCTTATAGGAGAAGTATTCCATCCACAGAAGGCTTTAGCAAGGTAACCTCATTAAAGACAACCATTGCCTTAAATGAATGCAGAGATGATCTCCACAATATCCACCCACACATCAAAGCTCAGTGCAAATCACTGAACTCCATAGGATTCATGGAGTGGCACAGGAGGAAGTGTTTCAGGAGATGTGTTTGCAGGTTTGGGGCTGGAAGAATGACAGAAAGATGCCCAACAACTTCACAACCCCTACACTTTCCCACCCCTTGTTAATGCCTCTCCTCTGTGCTGCAGTGGAATCAGGCTGGAATCATCCCTTCTCCAGCAGCATGAACAGTCCCACCAGCATTCCTGGGACTCACACATGGAAAAGCTTTGCATCTTTCCTGTGACTCCATCAACTCCACACCTCAGGAGGGATGACTGGGGCATCCCACTGCTTGGTGCCCACAAACTCACTGCTTCTCCATGAGCTGGAATAAGTGGGATGGGGGGTGTCTGTGCCCATCCAAGTGCGACCACAAAAGTCAAGACCTGTCCCCTGATCGTGGCAAAGGGGGTGAAGCAGCTCAGAACCCAAACTGTGCCGGTCAATCCCACTGCAGCACGGGGTTGCTGCACCCCCAGCACTGTCCCCCAGCCCATCAGCATTCCCTGAAGCTGCCCGGTAACAAGGCAAGGGAGGATGAGCATCCCTGGCTCAGAGCTGACCTATGGCTGTGCTGCTTCTCCGTGGTGCCTCCGCCGCAGCCGGGCTGGCGCCTGGGGCCAGCACGGAGTCACTGACCTATTTTCGTATATGCAGGCATGCACAGGATCCCAGACAAAGGCAGCTTCAGCTTAGGATATTTAAAGGAAAAGATACTCATCTGAACTACCCCAGGGAACCACAGTGGTTCTTGTGATGTTTGGTTTGTGTGGTTCTGGGAAGGGCAAAAACCAGCGTGGAGCAAAACAAATCAAAGAGCTCCACTGAGCTGCAAAATCACTTTTTTTTTTTTTTTTTTTTTTAATAAGGAAAGCAACAAAAGGGATGTAAGGATTTGGGAGTAAACTGGGCTTAGGACTTGATAAGCAACCAGGACTCACTACATGGAGGGAATAGAACTGAGTAAGAAGGAGCAGTCCTGCAGGGATATCCCCCACCTCCCTGACACTGATGGATGAGCTGCCTGTGCAGACTCATCTAAATGGGCTGGAAACAAGTCAGCTTTCCCAGGGAAACTTTTGCTGATGGACTTGGCCCAATTTTTAAGTATTTAATCCACACCTTGTGGAGCCCCTGGTGGTCTAGGGGGTAAAGGCGCCGCGCTATCACCGCGGAGACCCGGGTTCGATTCCCGGTCAGGGCCACTCCCGGGCAGGTGGGGCTCGTTAGCCCTTAAAGGCAACCCACCTACGTCCTAAGGACCTCGCTGCCACCGTCCAAGCTCGCTTGGCCCCGGCAGATGAACCTTAGGATTAAAGGGTGGGCTCAGTTCCGCGCACACTGTGTCTCACCTAAAAAATCCAATGCGCAGGCTGGAAGGTGGAAAGACCTTCCCCGGATCTTCGCTCGCGAAGACTGGCCATTATATTTAATCCACACCTCAGGCGGATTTTGGAGCTGGTTGGAAGTTAATTCCCCTGTAAGGGCGAGGGCCCAGCAGCTTGGTTCTCAGGTTTGAGATGCCAGAAAAAAAAACCCAAAAGCCCTTAAAGTGCACCCCTTAGCCTGGAAAACCCACAGAAAATCCCAGGAGCCCTATGGAAGTTCACAGACCTCTCATAGAAGGGAGAGATGTGCTGTGCCAGAGCAAGAGCTTACAGAGATGCAGGGACCAGGAAGGGACCAGAGATCCCTCAGTCTAGCTCTGAGCCCCCAGCATCCATTTTTGGTTGGTTCAGTGAAGTGGGAGAAGCCTCCAGCAGTTTGGATCACTGGCTTGCTTCATATCCTGGGTTGGGAAATGCCTGCTCAGCCCATAGCACTGCAGGACATGAAGGATGCAGTGGTGAACAACACAAAAAAAGTTCCTCCAGATAGAGATGATGACAAGAGTTGCTCAATATTGCATGCTGGCAGCTCTCCTGGGACTCTCCACACTGCTGGGAAAGGTGCTGCTACCAGGATTTGTTGGTGACAGACCAGGGGCAACAACCTTCCCCCCCAAACATGCACAGGCAGGAAGGAAAGAAAGAACAAGGACAGATTTCAGTGTCCTGAACAATGAAAACAGGAAAGTCCCTCTCGGCTGGGAAACCCGGACAAGGGCTGAAAGCTGAGCTCCATCCTGCTTCCAGGCAGTTTGGGGGGGTCTGCTCAGCCTCCTGTGGAGACGGGGGTTAAAAAAAGCACTAATGCAGCTGGAGCATCCTGTGGAAGGGAGGGATGAAGGGAGGGATGGAGGGAGAGAGGGATAGAGGGAGGGGGGCACCACCCAGCCCTGGGGGCTGTCAGGGGGGGTTCCAAGCAGCAGTTCATCTGAAATGCCACCCCTCTCTGCATCCCCCCTCCCCAGTCCTGCCATCCCTGCCCTCCATCCTCTCACCCTGCATCCCCCTGGGTACCAGTCCCCTGCTGCCTCCCCGCCTCCAGCCCCACATCCTGCCCTGGCTCCCAGGAAATCACTGCCAAGCTCTGCCTCGGGACATCCCGCATCCCACCCCCGCTCCCCCCCACCCCATCCTCCCTCCTCCCTGTGCTGACCTGCTTATTTTCTGCGTCAGAACCATAAAATGGAGACTGCAGGGAAGGAAAATATTCCTCCTAAGATGGCTGAAGGAGAAGAAGGATTTGCACGGCAGTGCATGAGCACCCTCTGCTGTTGGATGAGCCTGGGGGGGGCGGGATGCGAAACAGCTCCCCAGCCCTGCTCCAGCCCCACAGGCACCAGGCAGGAAAAGAACCCCCCAAAATCCTTTACTGGGTCATTAAAATTGTTGTAATAGCCAAAATATTTGTTTAAAAGGCTTCAGCAGCCTTGTCACCTCCTGAGCTCTCCTGGTTGCCTCTCCCTGCCTCCTCATTTACACTTTTATTTTCCTCACTGTGTTACATTCTAAATCCTTAGGAAAAGGACAGTATTTTGTATTAAAACCAGCATATTTTTCACCCAGGATTCCTAAAAGTTAATGCCACAGCCCTACACACTTGTAAAATGTTCCAGGTTTGAGAAAAAACCACTAAATTTCATTTGTATTAGGTTGCACATCAGGATGAGCATCCAAAACTTTGTGTTATTTCTTGTGGGATGGGAGAAAGTGTTGAATATAGACATGAGGGGAGAACCAGCCCCTACCTGAAATGGGGTGACCAGATATTGTCCCTAGGAAAGGTTTAGGGATGAAAAGGTACATGGGAAATCATTTAAGCTTCTCCCTGAGCATCCAACTTTAAAGCCAGGAGTTTAACAGTGTAGGGCCAAATCCAGCTGGATCTGAGGCTAAAATTCATTATGCTTAAAAAGCTTCAGCAGCCTTGTCACCTCCTGAGCTCTCCTGGTTGAATCTACCCCCCTTTTATACTTATAATTTCCTTGCTGTGTTACATTCAAAATACTTAGGAAAAGGACAGTATTTTGTATTAAAACCAGCATATTTTTCACTCAGAATTCCTGAAAATTAATGCCATTGCCCTACACACCTGTATAATTTTCCAGCTTTGAGAAAAAAAAATTAAATTTCATTTGGATTAAGTTACACATCAGGATGAGCACTCAAAACTTTTTGAGATGGGGAAAAAGGGCTGAAGATGGACATGAGGGGAGAACCAGCCCCTATCTGAAATGGGATGACCAGATATATTCCCTAGGAAAGGTGTAGGGACAAAAGATTCATGCCAAACCTGCTCCCTGAGCATCCAACTTTAAAGCCAGGATTTTGTCCATGTAGGGCCAAATCCAGCTGGATCTGAGGCTAAAATTCTATTTATTTAAAGTACTTCAGCAGCCTTGTCACCTCCTGAGCTCTCCTGGTTGCCTGTTTTATGCTTATATTTTCCTCACTGTGCTACATTCAGAATCCATTGGAAGAGGACAGTATTTTATATTAAAACCATCATATTTTACACACACAACTCCTAAAAACTGATACCACAGCCTTGCACATTTTTAATTTTTTTCCAACTTTGAAAAAAAATCACTATATTTAATCTGTATTAAGTTTCACATCAGGATGAGCACCCAAAATTTGGTGTTGACTTTTGCGGGATGGTAGAAAGGGCTGAAGATTGATATGAGGGGAGAACCAGCCCCTACCTGAAATGGGGTGACCAGATTTTTTCCCTAGAAAGGTTTAGGGATAAAAGGGTTCATGCAAAACCTGCTCTCTGAGTATCCAGCTTTTAAACCAGGAGTTTGTCAGTGTAGATCGAAATGCAGCTGAATCTGAGAATAAAATTCCCAAGTGAACATTGTAAAATATTTTCCCAAGACCAAAAGGTATCACTGAGGTAGGAGGTGAGAAACACAAACTGATCCAGGATCTCAAGACTTTTGAGTTAATTTAAACACTGAGGAGGATGAGGAAAACAAACAAACAAGGAGCTCTAGAAAATGAAAAGACAGAGAAAAAGCCCTTATAAAGATGATGGCAGGTAAAATGCCAGCACTGAAGGGTTGGATTCAGACGGGAATGGGTTGCCCAGCACAGTGCCAGGTGTGGGGTACCAGCACTCACACCCCCAAAACCACACAGAAAGTCTCATTGGTTATATAACAAACTGCAAAAACACCTCTGAGGGCTTTTCCCTGGAGAGAAAAACCCCTTTTTGTGGGATCAGGGTGAGGCTGAGCCAGAGCTGGAGCTCTGAGGTGATATTCCTGCTGCAGCAGGATGTCTGGGTGTGGATGGAGCAGGGAACACCCAGGATGGGACACCCAGAGAGGCTCAGTTGTATTAATGTCATGTATATACATATAAATACTGTGGGCACAGCCCCCTGCATGGCAGGGGACAAGTGAGGGGGGCACTGGGACAGCAGGAGCTGGGCAGGGCAGGGGCACCTGAGGAGGGGGTATTTTTGCAGTATTTTTGCATAAAAAAGGGGTATCAAAATCTGAGGTGCCAGGACACCTCATCGTGTGAGCAACGGGGACTGAAAAGCTTGCAAAACATGGCTCTGGGGCTCCTAAACCCGGGGGTATTCCCAGCACTCCCTGAGTGACTCAGCATGGGAGTGCTGGGAAAGCACGAGTGACACATCAGGGTGGACCCCAGCCTGGGCAGGAGCATCCCCCGTGTCTGTGGGAGCCCAGGATCGGGGTACACCGGCACTGCTGGGGCCGCAGTTCCAGCAGGGAAGGGGCTTTGGGGGTGACAGGAGCAGGGAGCACTACACCAGCCCCAGCGAGGGGCTGAGAACACCGGGCAGAGTGGGGGGCACTGGAGAGATGCGTTGGGAGCACCCCAATAGGGGGATGTAGAGAGGGGCTTACACAATGCTCCAGAGCCCCCTGTTTCATTTAATAGCACAAAACACTGCTAATCCCTGTCCCTGCTCTCAAAATGCCTGATAACTGAGCACCGAAAGGGCTGGTGATGCCAGCTGGGGAGGGCAAGTGCTGCCTTTGTGTGCCAGCACAGGGGATTTCTCCCTGGGCCACCCCCCCCTTTCCCCCCAGCAGCAGATGGAGACCCACTCCCAATTATATTCTTGTCACAGGCAGAATAAAGAAAGACAAATGTCCCAAAGAAAGCTGTTTTGGGAGGACAAAGGATCCTTGAAATAGGAGCTGAGCTGTTTTTTCCAGGTTCAGAGCAGGGGATGGAGGGAGCGGGGGGGTTGGATGGGCAGGATGCGTGCGCAGCCAGCACTTCCCGTCTTTGTCTGGAAAAGGAGGTCACGGGGAGGGGGGGACACGGGGGGGGTCGGGGGATGCAGGGGAGGATGCGGGGCCGCGTCAGCAGCGCGTCAGGAGAGCAGCTGATCTCGGCTCCCAATCCCGATGCTCTGAGCTCATCCCTGGGAACGGAGCCAGCGCGGCTCAACTGCGCACACCTGGCGCATGGAATCGGTACTGCGGGGACATGGGCACATCCCCGCACAGAGAGGGGGGCACCGGGGAAAACCCCCCGCTTCCACCGCAAAATCCCCCCGACACCCGCATAAAGCGGAAAAAAACCCCTTAGGGAAACCCTTGGCCTAACTTGGGGTGCCCGCAGGGGCTTCTCAAAGCTCACGGGGCAAATAAAAGCTGTCCCCAGCACCGGTGCCCCGTGTGAGCGTGGTGGGGGAGTGTGGTGGGCACCGCGGGCACGGCTCGGCTCCCAGTGCCTCCCAGTAAGCAACACACACCGGCAGGAGGCCCACCAGTGACCCCACAAGTGCCCCTCGCAGTGGCAGCATCCTGGGACAGGCAGGAGCTGCACCCCAGAGCTGGGGGCACGTGTCACCTGCAGCTCCCCAAAAGCACGGGGTGGCAGGTGACTGTCACCAGGTGATGCCACCGCAGTGCCAGCAGTGATGGGGACAGCAGTAGCTCCCCACTCCCAAAGATCCAGCCCTGGGACACAGCCCAACCTTGCTCCCACTGACTTTTCCACGTGGCCTCTCTTAAAATTGCCACTTCCACACGGGAAAACACCCCTACCAGGGTGGCTGCTGCAGCTGGACCAGGCCAGGTACCCCAGGGGTGGCACTGAAATGGCAGGGAAAATGCTACTTGCCCTAAAACGTCAGGGAAGGCCAGTCCAAGACACAGAGGCAACACCATCACCTGTTGTGAGGTGAAAACAGCTGCTAAAAACCATGGCTGGGCTACAGAAAGTTTCTGAGGGGGGAGCTTCTTTTCTCCAGGCTCTGATACACAGGTGGGAATAAGGGAGAGTGGACAAACACCTCCCAGACCAGCCAGCACTCTACCTGTGCTTATAGACTGTATGTGTGAGATGGGGAGTGACTCCAGTTTCCAGGAACTCCAGGTAACAGGCTCAAAACCCTCTCCTAGGGAATGACACAGGTAGTGGGTACCCCACATGTCCTGCTGAGATGAAACACAAGATCTAGGGAGAAAGTTCTCCAAGCAGGGAGAGATTTAAACATCTTCCCACCAACACCTCTCCCAGAGCCCTGTCAAAGCCCTCTGATGCTGTTGGTGTGTGTTCTCCAGCAGAAATGAGGAAGCAAGAGCAGGGAGAAGGTGAAGGGATAACAGCCCCCAACTCCAACCAGGGGAATGCTGACTTTCTCCAGGGTGGTTAAACACCAGAGAAGGGACCACAGTTACACTGAGAGAGCTGGGGATATTCATGTCGTTGAAAATTCTCCAAAACGCCCTGAGCAATCCCTGACTTTTGGATTAGCCTTACCTGGAGCAGGAGGGTGAGCCCAAGATCCCCAAAGGACCCTTTGAATCTAAACTGTCCTGAAAGGAACCTGGTGAGCTCCCCTCATTCCTTCTCAGCAGAAACTTTTAGATTTACCAGCTCCCTGGTTTGTGGACAGACCTCTGCATTTTGTCCAAGAATATTCCTGAGCAAAAGAGGAAGGGAGAAGTTTCTGTCCCTGTTTGCTGCTGCTCCTCAGCCAATGTTGGCACAAGAGGAGGAGAGGAGCTACAGCCTCAGAATTCCAAAGGCCTCTGACTCGTCAGAGAGAGGTGACAGAGCTGGAGGCCCTGGGATGGACACAGAAAAGGGAAGGAGGTACTGGCTAGAGGAGACACTTGTGCCAGCAATCCCTGCAGAAAGACATCCATGAGCAAGAGGATGCCACAGCATCCTGGGAATCTGAGGGCATGTAAAGAGCACATAGGGATGCTGTAATTGCATCTGTGAGCACCTGGAGGGTGC